AGGGCTGGCAGGTGTGGAGTGGTGCAAAGGGGAAGTGGGCAAGTGGTGGCGGGAATCAGGCAGGTGGAGTTTGAAGCCTGGCTCCTCTCCTTCTTCCAGCATTAAGTTTGTGCAAATTATCTAATCTCTCCAGGCCCCAGCTTGCTCCTTCCTCTGTGAAAGGGGTATAATAATAGTGAGGAGAAGGCAATGGTGGGTGAAAGGGCTCAGCCTAGCGTGTGGCACAGAGGGAGCGCTCAGCAAATGTGAGTCCATGATCTCTGCTGCTGCAGTCAGTTGTAGCCATGGTGCTGAGTAAACCACTAGACCCCGGGTGTGGAGAGTATGGACTGGCTCGTTCAGCCTCCTTTTCTGGGCCTTACCAGAGGCCGGACAACTACAAACTGCATTTTGCAGACTCCCTCTCAACTACAATTCTTAATCCTAGAAGCAAATTAAGATGGCCAGTTAGATGTACTTGCATGAGCACTGGAAGGTGGAGAGCATTTCCTCCTTCCTTAGACTATGCGTCGTCATTGGCCAGCTACAAAGTAGAGACATGGGGTCTTTTTTGGCCTCTCAAAGTCCATTTTCCAGCCTCCTGGTTGTCCAGGTGATACCAGGAACACAGCCTCAGCAGTGGGTTTCTCTGGCATCAATTCCAGGAGGGGGAAGCATTTGTGACTGCTTTCACAGCCCTGGCAGTGGCCTCAGAGGTGATGGCACCCCTGGTGGGTCAGTTCTGCAGTATTCTGGAGTCACTTCTAGAAGCCCAGTCAAGAGCCCACACCCCAAGACCTCCTAATGATTTTGTAAACGTCTCATTCCCTATATTACATCCCTTCATAGTTCAAATATTTAGTCATGTCTGCTTCCTACACTCAAGCCTGCCTACCACAGAAGGCGTTTGTATTTCTTTCCTTCACAATCTCAATTTGCATACCACATTTTTACAAGTGAAAAAAGAAGTTAAGACGTCATTCGCTTCCCCTATTAACATTATTTTTCCTGAGTTATTCACACCTACGCTGAGATAGACCAATCACTATCTCCCTGTATAACTAAGCCTAAGGCGTTGTCATCCCCTGGTGACAGCTGCCCAAACTGCAGCTGTAATGCTGGGAAGGGAATAATCAAAGTCAGAACAGAGTAGACTTTACAATTCCAAACCAAGAGAGTGAAGCCCAGTCAATATTGGTGTCCTTATAGAATATCGAAAATGGAGACGTCGAGAGAAGAAAATTTCCCCAGTATTGCCCAGGAGAGATGAAGCATCGATGACTCGATGTGAGTCTTCCCGTCATGTTGGCACATTCGCACATTCAGCATTTTGATCAGGAATGACTCACCATGCCTCATTGGTGAGTGTATTACTTAAAAATAATCGCTCCCATTGCAATGGACAAAAGTCCTTTTTGGAAGGAGGCAGAAGGTAAACCCTCTGCAATCTTCTCATCTTAACTCAGTTTCTCTTTTGATAAAAGTTTACGGACCACCTGACACCTGTGTTGATGTGGTTGTCCCTTCTTTATATCCCTAGATGCTAATAAGTAAGCATTCTAGATTTTTTTTCAGTCTTTTGTGAGTCTGAAATAATTTCATCTACAATTCAGTTCTGCAGAACCTGGAAACTGTACTATAGAGAACTGAGAACAATTTGTCAACCTACAGACCTGAGTCAAATCTGAGCTCATCTCTATGAGAAGCCCATTGACCCTGAGCCCTTATTTTGCCCCCAAAGCCTGACTTGCATTCCCAATAATCAGACAAATATACACTCCTTGGTCAGTTCTTAATTATCTGCATGTGGCTTATTCAAAAATAAAAATTATTTTTATTCCGTGAGGAAAGTAGTTGAAAAGGCCAAGCTCTGAGTTCAAGAAATGAGTTTAAATCCTGACTGCGCCTTTTTGAATCTGTGATCTTGGACAAGTTACTTCATTTCTCTGTGTTTCACTTTCTTAATCTACATTAAAAAAAAAAAGGAGGAGCAAATAAGAATTCCTACTTTGTATGAGATAAAAGATATATAAAGTAACTGCATTTAATAAATAGTGGCACTCAATAAATAGTAGCAATTGATATTATGTGCTGGATGCTACAAGAATGCAAAAATGAGCAAGGCACAAACTAAACTCTTTAGAAATATTTGATCTAGTAAGCGAGGATGCAACCTGTACCGCAGTGACTGAACGAGATGTGCCATGTCTGACAATCTCATCCAATTTAGACATCAAGCTTCAGTAGGAGGTAACATTGGAAAGTGTCCAAAGGTATGTGAAAAGTGGTCCAGGAGGAGGGAAGTGAACGAGCAATAATGTGGAGAAAAAAACAAGCCTGATCGGCCTCTCTGTGGAAGGCTATAAAGGCCCGTTTGAACTTGAATAGTCAGATTGTGAAAGCAGTCACAAATGCTTCCCCCTCCTGGTATCTATAGCCATAGGTAATTCTTTTCCACAATGATGCTGAACTTGGTCATGCAACTTGCTTTGACCAGTGGGATGACTGGTAGCAAACATGATTCAGGTGGACTCATGAAAAGGGCTTGCACATTTAGGCAGACCTTAATGTTGCACTTGGAGCCTTTCTGCTGCCATAGGAACAAGCTTGCTCTAGCCAGTTCAGTGTTGATGAGAAACATGTGGTCCAGCGCTCTTCCCCGTCCCCAGTCAACAGTCAGCACTGTCAGGGGAACAGCAACCGAGCTCCCTGCAGCTGACCACAGATGCAAGAGTGAGCCCAGTCAAGATTAGCAAAAGAATGACCCAGCTGGGCCCAACCCAAATCATAACCCACAGAACCGTGAGCAAAATAAATGGTTGTCATTTTTAAGCCACTGCATTTTGGGGTGGTTTGTTAATGCAGCAAAAGTTAGCCAATAACGGAGAGCCATTGAAAGGTGGGTGCAGGTGAGCAGATATATACGCTGTCCAGATGGATGTGCACTTGGGAAACTGGAGGCACACCATAAATACTAGATTAAGTAAAATAATTATTAATGTAAATTTGCTTCAAAAGGAAATAAGTTGACGAGTAATTATTGAGTGCAGAAGGTTGCAATTCACGATATCCTATACCCCTGCTATTCAAAACGTTGTCTGTGGACCAAAGGTATTGTGACCTGGAGCTTATTTGAAATATGGAATTTGGGCTCCATCCCAGACCCACTGAATCTGAGTATGAATTTCAACAACATCCCCAGGTGATTCATTGGCACTAAGTTTGAGAAGCACTGTCCTATCCTAAAAATGCAAACTGTATCCGCACTAAGCACTCACCTAGTCTTTTGAATTCTGGTCAAACCAGATTTTTTTTTTTACTTCTTTAGATGCATCAGTATAACTTCCTTCCTACCTGCTTTCTATCATAGCTTTAGTAAAAGCAAAGACAAAAAACAACCTTTATCCTTTGAAGTATTATCAAGAAACTCTGTTAGGGGATGGGGGCGGTTTCCTGGGAACTTTGAGTAGGGCCCAGTAAATGAAACTGCTTTCATCCAGGTTTTGAACCACTTAAGAAATAAGACAAAGGATAAGGCAAAAGCCAAAATATCATCTTTATCACTGATAAAATCTAAGTTAGAGACGTTGAATGGCCTCCTACACAGCGCCCAGAATTAACTAGATTTATCCATCATCAGTGCTGGCACAGGGCGGTCTTACTGCTGCTTTCCCCAGAGAGAGGGAAGAAGAAAGGCCTGGCTGGGGGGAAGTATGGGGGAGGCAGGAGTGAGTGAGGGTCTGAGGGGACCCAGGAGGAAACATTGGGAACGGGGATAGATATGTGCGTGGTGGTGGTGAGAGAGGCGTGTTCTATAAAATGTGGTCATCTCAATCGCTTAGGAGTTTCTTAAAAGCCAGATTCTTTAGAAACGATCTTTAATCATGATTGATTAATGGCATGATCATCTGTTAAGATGAATAATCAAGATTGTAATTTGTGGGATTTTTTAAACATGAGATTAGAGTTTAGGCTAAATGGTATTGGTAACAAAGAGCATGTTTGAAAGTTTATGAACAGGAATAGTGCCCAAACTGAGGTGAAAGAAAAACAATTTAGATTTTTTTTAAATGTTTATGAAAATTGGTATTTGGCCCAAGAGTGGGGAGAACATTCAAACACTTCCATGTTACCCCATGGCCTTGAGTCGCCCTAAGACACTATACTATTATTTTTTTAGCTTATGTCTAGCTTAATATGCAGTTACAGTATGCAAACTGTATCCGCACTGGATGAACTCATGTTTTTACCTATTTTGTCGTAACCTACTCTACTGTTGTTATTAATAATGATCGTGATAACAATGGTTAAGCTCTTTGAGCAGTTACTGTATGCCTAGTACTGAACTATGAGAACAGATTTTATTTAAGTCTCGTAACAAGTCAGCGAGGTCGATATTTTCATTTCTTGTGTTCTCATCTAATGGATGAGGAAATCAAGACTTAGAAAGGTTAATAACTCATCCAAGGTCACACAACCAGTAATCTACAGAGTGAGGGTTCAAAGGCAGGCAGGTCACTAGTTCTTTCTTTCAACCCTGTCCCTTGTTATCCTTGTTTTATGGTCATCCGTAGTCATCACTTTATATTTAAATCTTTATTATTCCTATTTCAAGTGTTAACACATTTTTGTTATATTTCTAAAAATTTAGAAACTACACATACAAAAAAGAAAAGAATCATCTAAAATTTCCCAGAGGGAAAACTACTGTGAAAATTGTGGTGTATATCCATCTAGTCTGTCTTCTGTTCACGTTTATTGGGTCTTGTGTTGTTGTTATAGTTTTTTTTTTTTAAAAAAGGAACATTGTATATATGCTTTTACTGGCATTTTACACTCAACAATACATTATAAACATTTTCCACATCATTCTAAACCACGTATTCTTCTAAAACACCATTTTTTTTTTAAATTGCATTGTATTCTGTTGTATGAATCCATCATAATGTATTTAACCAATCTCCTATTATGGCTTATTTGAGCTGTTAAAATATTTTCACTATTATAAACAATTCTGTAATGAGATTTTTATTTGCACTCATCCTTATTTCAGACACTACTTTTTGCCTAATCCAAAGCCTTTTATTTTCCCCTTTTCTCTCCTAAAGAAACCTCTATTTTTAGAGGTTAGAAGAGCGAGGTCCTGTGGTCTCGACATTTCTCAGCCCCTGTTGCAGTTATGTGTGGCCATGTGACTTGTTCTAGACAATAAAACATCTGCATGAAAGTTACATGTGCCATTTCCCAGTCAAAGCTTAAAGAAGCAGCTGTGCTCTTCCATTCCCTCTGTACCCATCCACTAGAGCGATACAGCTGCAACTATGCCATGCCCCTAGAGGATGGCTGTATTACTCAGGGAGAGAGAGAGACTATAAGGAATTGGCTCACATAATTATGGAGGCTGAAAGTCTGAGATCTGCAGCTGGCAAGCTGGAGACCCAGGAAAGCCAATGGTTTAGTTCCAGTCTGAGTCTGAAGGCCTGAAAAAGAATCAGGAGAGCTAATGGTATAAATTCTAGTCCGAATCTGAGTCCAAAGACAGGAGAAGACCTATATCTCGGCTCAAAGACAGATGGGCCGAGAGAAGAAGTTCTTTTTCACTCGGCCTTTTGTTTTATTCAGGCCTTCAAGGGATTGGATCAGGCAGGACCACAATGGGGTGGCTGGAGGAGGGCGATCTTTGCTTACTCTACTGATTCAGAAGTTAATCTCATCTAGAAACCTCAGACAGCCACACTCAGAAATAATATTTTACCAAATCTCTGGACACTGAGTGCCCTGGTCCACTTGACACATAAAACTAACCATCAAAGTGGCTGAGTCACAAGATGAAAGGAGTCCAGGTGATTTCATTGCCAATTGGAGGAGAAATACTTGCCAGACAGAATATCTTCCTTGGACTCTTCTGTGGGTAAAAAAAATAAACCAATTATGTCGGAGCTGTAAGGCAGATATTTCTGCTGTGACATGGAATAGACATAGAAAAAATACACATTCAGCAAAATTATACATTCAGAATAACGCTTTTAGGAATATTAGGATCATAATCAGAGCACTAAAAATTTATGTAACTTTGTAACTAGAGCACTAACAAAAACTGTAATTGGTACCTTGAGAGACAGCTCGGACAGTCCGGGCAGGAAGCTCAGCATATCTGGAGGTTGCCTCAAGGCTATTAAAATGCTATTAAAAAACAATTGTGGGAAATTATAGAGATGGAGAACAGATTAGCTGTTGCTAGGGGTTAGGGATGGTGATGGAAGTGGTGGGCATGGCTGTGAAGAGATAGCAAAAGAGGGCCTTATGGTGCTGGAACAGATCTGTAGCTTAGCTGTGGTCGTGGTTATACTAATCTGCACATGTGATAAAATTACATGGAACTACACACACATACAGACACACATACGCGCACACATGCAATGCTTGTAAAACTGGTGAAATCTGAATAAGCCCTGTGAATTGTACCAATGACCAGTGTCAATTTCCTGGCTTTGATATTGTACTATAGTTAGGCAAGTTGTTACCACTGGGGAAACTGGGCGCAGGGTATATAGAACATCCCCGTGATAGATTTCCTGCAAATCTATAATTATTTCAAAATCAAAAGTTTGAAAAGTGAGTAGAAATGTCTGTGGTTGTAGAAACCATATACATGGAAATGAAGTTCAGAGCCCTAGGTGGCCAAAGGAAGAAGTGAAGCCAGCCCTGAGCAGAGCAGGAAGTATACCTGCCTGGGGAGAAAGCCCAAGGTGTTGCACTTATTTTTGTTTTCTTAACCAATACCTGAAAAGGCTCTTGCCTGTGTATCAGCCAAGCTGAGAGCCTGTCCCTTCCCATGGAATGTTAGAATTCTACACCTGCTCTTCAAGGTTTGTTTTTCTTTCAAAGTATGTTCATGTTTTAAATTTGATTTGTTTTCTGCCTTTGTTTAGGATCTACCTGGCCATTTAGAAAGATATACTTGATTGCATGTGGGACATTTTCAAAATGTCAGCCATAAAAT